TAATAGTTTATATAAAAAAAACATTATTGTTTAAAATTTACCTCAGACTCATCCTCCTCATTATCATTCTCCTCCAACTCCTCAAATAGATTGAAGAAATTCCCATTATTGTCAGAACTTGAATTTCAAACATAATAAAAGTTTAGAATACAAATTCAAAAATAAGAAAATAAGAGAAATATAGCCTTAATTTAATACCTTTCAGATCTTTCTTCAACCAATCTTGAAGACACATCAGTGCCTGTATCGAATTGGAATATTGATAGTACATCATTAGTACTAGTGGAAGAGTTATTAGTCCACATTGGAATATTGATAGTACATCATTAGACACATCCCTAACAAAGATAGGTCAAGCGCACCACAATAAAAACAGATCATTCCTTTTAGTTTTACATAAAAGACTTATCAGAAACCCTGCTAGACTTCAACCACCAATGACAGTACTTGATTATAACCACTTATTAAGCACTAAAGCACAAAAATTAAGTTAAAAATTACTAATTAAAAACATGAAAATTACTAGTTAAACATTAAAGCATAAAAAAATAAAAAGATCGAAAGCTGCAAACCACCAAATCAAAACAGGTTTACCAAATCAAAAGATCGCAAGCACTCACCCACGCTGGTGTCAAGACAGGTTTACAAGCTAGGAGCTGTTGTTGCTTGAAAAGATCGAATGTTGCAAAACCACCAAATGAAAAATTTTAATATTAGATGCACATAGGCATACGATACCCATCTGTGCAATGTAATGGGACATATGTGATAGCTAACTGATGCATGCTGATGCTCAAACTAAAGTATAGAAATTAAAGAAAAAAAAGAGAAGCGAAAATGAAAGATAGAAGATGACATTCAGACAAATAAACAAACAAAAGCTGGAGCTGGAGCTGGAGGTGAGCGGTGTGAGCAATGGTGAGCGGCGCGGCAGAGGAGAAGAGACTGACTGGAGTAGAGTGGGATAGCAATTTGCAAGAAGCGGCAATTGGATTTCCTTCTGCATCTAGGGTTAGTCGGTTATATATATTGGATTTCCTTCTGCTTGTAGTTGTAGGGTTCTGTAATTGGGCTCTAAATTGGACCGTAAATTGGGCTATAAATTGGGCTGGGTAATTAGGTTTAAGAATATTAGATTAACAAAAAAAAATTGGGTTGGACCGACAATTGGGTTTGGAAAAATTGAAAAAAGAGTGGATTGTGAAATTTAAGTTAGTATTGGGTTAACTAATTAAATTGGGTAAATTCCAATAAAAAAATTAAATTGGGTAAATAAAAATTAATTGTTAACATATGTACAAAATATATATATAAAAATAATTTTTTTTATGCGGATCCCCACGGGGTGGAGGAAATTCCCCACGAAATTTCACGGGTAAAAAATTGCCTCCATCCCCGCCCCACAGGTAAGAATATTCTTGGAATCTCCATCCTCGTGACGGGTATCTCCACGGAGCTCCGCGGGTCGCGGAGAAAATTGCCATCTTTACCCATCCCCATTCCTTGCCAATTAATATCAAAATATACATTTTTTACATCAAACATAAATAAAGATTAATTTAACATAAATAATTAAATCAACAAACTTGTTCCAAACATAAATAGAGATTAATCCAACATAAAGCAACATACTTGTTCCCAACATAAACTGTTCCAAACATAATGACTTTGACTTTGAGCAACAACAGCAACAACAGTAATGTGTTCAATAGCAGCTCCAATAGCAAAGTTGTAGAGATAGTTCAGCAATCCACAGATTGAATGGAAAATTGGCAGATGGCTTTGACTTTGAGCAGCAGTAGCAATCTAGATGGATTTGGCAATAGCAGTGTGTTCGACAACAGCTCCAACAGCAGATCAGTAGCAACAATGGAGGGATTTAGGGTTTTTAGGTTAAGAGAAAGGCAATGGTGAAAGTAAGGGTAGAAGGGTGACATGTGAGACTGAGAAGGGTAAAAGGGCGGCAATGGAGTTGTGGAGGGAATCGTGGGATTTAGAGTTTGAGATTCATTGAGGAGGGCCGACGAGAAAGGTTGAAGGTGACTTAGGTGACAAAGTCCAAGAGTGAGAGGCAGTCAATAAGAATAAATGAATAAGGTTAATTAGGGTTAAAACTTAAAAGGTTAATGATGGGTTGGGTTGGGTTGGATTGGGTTAAGTTTTATTAAATTGGGTAACTTGGGTTTGGGTTTGAAAATTGTATTAAATTCAAAATGAAATTAATTTATACTTTTTTTTTTAATTTTTTGCGGGGATGAGGATCTCCACCGGGCCTCGTGGGGCTGAGAAAATTCCCCGTGAAATTTCACAGGTGGAAAATGCCCCCCGTCCCCGTCCATATCTCGTAGGGCCCCATGGGGATCGAGGCAAATTGCCATCCCTAATTTCATCTATAATATTTTTAAGAAATAAATAACAAAACATCATAATAATTTTCAATCACAGTTATAATACAGTACAATTCAGCACAAGTACAATCACAGTTATAGTTACAACATTTCATGACAATCCCAAACGCACCCTTCTTCGTTTTTTCATAGTCCAAGGTTGAACTTATATTGTGTATTACATATAAAATCTTTTAACTATTGAGTTTTGGATTCACATTAAATTATAGTTTTTTTACTTTTATTAATAAGAGATTATTATTGAATCTTTTATTTTATAATTTGAAGGTTAAATTCCCTTTTTGGTTCCTCTACTATTGAAAAAAGCCACTTTTTGGTCCCTGTACTAAAAAAATTCCCTTTTTAGTCCTAAATTTTAAAATCCAGTCCCTTTTTGATCGATTCATTAATTTTTGCTTGCGTGGCATGTTATCTTAATGTAACATCCGACATGGACATTCCAACCTGTAAAGACGCTTACGTGGACTCAATGACTCGACTTAATGACTCCCCGTGCAAGAACAAACCCTAATCAATGTTTCCAGTTCCCTCTCCAGCTATCATCTTCTTTCTTTCAAATTTCTTGTTTTTCATTTACAATCAATCTTTTATTTATGAGATTGATCAAGATATAATCCACAATTCATAAGAATATTTTCATTACTAAAAATAAAAATTAATTACTAATTAAAATAATTTATTAATACCTTAAACACTAATTTCTCCTCTGCAAAACAAATGCTTCACTTTACTCATAGCAACATGAACTCAACAACATCAACCTATCAC